TTTTATCATAAAAAAGTTCTCTCTTGAATGTATCTGAGTTTGGTTTGCTGTATTTTGTTTAAGACTTATTGTTTTCCTTTAATTGCAGGTGTGAGTGAATAGTGGGCTTTTATTATTGCTTTCCTGTGGAAAATTCCACAAGAACCTTCAATTTGCTAATTTATTCCCACATCTAAGTACAGTCTTAAGTAAACCTATCTACCAGATGTCAGCTAGAGCCCTCCCTTTAAAGAGCTACATAAAATTGCTTTGAAAAGCTCTTCTCTCAATTCTTTAAAACTAGACAAAGTAGGCTAGGCGCAGTGGCTCACGCCTGTAATCCCAGCACTTTGGGAGCCCAAGATGGGTGGATCACTTGACGTCAGGAGTTTGAGACCAGCCCAACCAACATGGAGAAACCCTGACTCTACTAAAAATACAAAAATAGCCAGGCATGGTGGCACATGGCTGTAATACCAGCTACTCGGGAGACTGAGGCAGGAGAATCACTTGAACCCGTTGGTGGAGGTTGTGGTGAGCCGAGATCACACCATTGCACACCAACCTGGGCAACAAGAGCAAAACTCTGTCTCGAAAAACAAAAACAAAAAGAATCCTACGAATTCTGGGATAATTAGATTATTAAGATCCCCTTTGTTCTGGGACTCATGACTTCCACATAAACATGGCTGAATGTCTCTTTTCATTTATTTCTACAAGGAATTCATCTGTATCATGCATTTGCCAATAAGTTGATTATCCAAAGTTGAGAGTGCTACAACATGCTGTCACATCTTGAAGCATAAGTGTTTCTGTCATCTTGCTTGCTTGCCCTCCCTACTTCCAACCTCCATGACTGTAAATTCTTTTTCAATTATGCAGTACAATTTGTCTCTCCCAAAACTTGATGATTCAGAGCCTCAAATGCTTAGGATGAACATCTCTAGAAGCCAGCTGGGTTATACATGGGTCCTACAAAGAGAAATTATACTTTATGTTGCAATAGCAGTGAGTAGTTTTGTAATGGACACAGTCTAATGAGAAGTCAGGTAACCTTCCTTTATGATGTACATTTTTTTTTTCATTAGAGTAGGTGAACTTTTAGGAAGGGAAATGACAAAGATTTCCAGAGCAGACTTGCTTTTTTGTTTTTTTAAGGGGCTAAGCTTTACCCTGGTCTCAGTGCAGGTTGTAAAAAGAATATGGGTCTTGGAACCCCAGGATCTCTGACAATTGCCAATGGTGTCATCTTAGATAATTTGCTTATTCACACTGAGTCCCATGTCCCTGTTGCCAAATGAGAATACTAACACCTACTTCCATGTTTGTTTGGAGGATTAGAGGTAATATAAAGGGTCTAGCATGATTTTTGGCATACAGTAGGTGTTCCTTACATTGTGGGCAATTATTACATACTCCAACATGATGGTGAAGAACTGTGGGAGGGAGCACTTGGGGTGGTTTCTGGGGCTCTTGAGTGGAAAGTAGCAATGAATGGAACTTCTGTCAAAGTGCTGGGGAAAATGGAGGTGAATTTTCTGAAATTTTCAACTGGAGTCTCACAAGATAGTTCACTTACCAATGAATAATCTTTGGTGATCTCAGGTTTCTCATTTTATTATTTATTTTTTATTTATTAATAGATAGAGTCTTATTCTGTCACACAGGCTGGAGTGCAGGGATATGATCACAGCTCCCTGAAGCCCCAAACTAGGCACAAAGGATTCTCCTGACTCAACCTCCTAAGGAGCTAACTACAGATGCACGCTACCATGCCAGGTGAATTTTTTTCTTAGAATTTTTTGTAGAGACAAGGGTCTAGCTATATTGTCCAGGCTGGTCTTAAATTCCTGGCCTCAAGCAATGTTCCCATCTCAGCCTTCCAAAGTATTGGGGTTACAGGCATGAGCGATTGCACCCGGGAGGTTATTCATCTTTTGATATAACTTATTACACAGATGCTACTTGGCCTTGACTTTACATAGTGGAAAGATATCCTAAAATATCTCTTTAGGGCTAAAAGCTCCCGTTGGAGAAATCATAAAATCATTGGAATGCAAACCTAACTGCATATCTACAATAAATAAGACTGCAGTCTCTTTTTAGGACTTAGGGTAATACTGAGGAGTGTTTTTCATATCTCTGTACCCACTGAGATTTGTGGGCCCAAGAATTTTTTAATTAACTTGAAGATGTCTTCCTTTATATGCATCTTCCTCATGGCTATTGGTGTTATGTACAAGAAAGTTCAAAGAAAATATACAGAACATTATCAGTCTGTCCTGAAAGAAAAGGAGTATTTATTTCAACTTCTTCTGACTTTACTCTTTATATGTATTATTTCCAAAAAAGTTTATACTAAGTGAAGTTTTATATGGAAAAATAAAATATTTTTATTGGCTTCTATAAAACTTTCAGATAGATATTTATATAGAAAAGAAATTGCCCTTGAAACAGCTACAAGAAAAACTAAGGTGTAATTAAAATATTAGTTTACATGTACTTAATGTTTTCAGTTATTGCAAGAAAATGTAACCAAGAGAATAATTAATTTACATGACCAGTTTATATTACATTAAAAGCCCCTATATGGACAGATCCATGGTACAGTGAAATATAAGTTTGATTGCTTATTGAGCTTCATGATTCTCTCTGGAACTTGATGGCCCATGTCCAGATAATTGGAAGAACTTGTTGGCTGAAGCAGCCCTTGTAACAGAAAATTGCAGATCCCCCAAGTTCCACTTATCTCCTCAGGGCCCAGGGCTACTATTTCACCCCACTTACCACCTGATCTGCCAACCAGTATAGGTGGAGTATGCCCATCTGTGGAAGTAGAGACCAGTTTTCCCCATGTGCGGGACTGCTTTCACTCCTGAAGCATGAAGCACCACGGGACCTGCTCTGTGGCCAGGGATATACAACCTAGACATGGAGGGAAGGTAGCCCTATTTTTGGTAATGACAGAGCCAGTAGAAAAATTCTTTCTAACTCCCAGATCAGTATAGTTGATATGGCCCCTTAGAAGATGGTCTTACACAATTGAGTACTCAGCTGTGCTTAGTACTAAGTGTAGCCAACTTAGTAATGCACCTTTATATTTATTCTCTTTTCCTCTATGCCTCATTCACTTCTGCCTCTACTCCTTCTTCCTCGGGCATGATAATACCTAATAAAATTGTAGGATTGAGCTCTGCTTTCTGGGGAACCTATGCTAAGGCAATTCTCTTCTCATTTTAATATGGCCTGCAGGCAATATCACTGTGCAGATACAGACTTTGTTTATGATTTCATCAGTGTATGGAGTAGGTGGATTGTCTTAAAAGAGTATCACATGGTACACTGCATCAACTAGTCAGTGAATCCTCTTGAGATACATGCTCAAATGGTATCTGTAACATTCTGCATTTCAGTAGTTCTACTAAGTTTTGCTTTGGTTTAAACAATATTTAATGTGTCAGAATTTGTGTACATGAACCTAATGACAATTCCACTTATTTACAAAGCTATAGAGCCCTGAGTGGCTAAATGTAAAACCAGAATGAGCTGTCATCTTGAGGGTGGAGAAGCAAACCAACTTTGTCCTCTGGCTCCTCTTCATAGATTACTAGACGTGTCCAGGTTTGTGACACAAGGCCAGCTTCATATAAATCAAACCATTAGATATTATATTAGTTTAGGATTGAGTTTGCCTGTGTAAAGGGGTTAAGAATGGTACCTAGCTGGAATATGTATGTTCCAGCTCTCCAAAATAAATGAATCAAGTCATTTTTTGGAGGAGAGAGATACGTTCATTAGGGTACAATTGGGAGGTACATAATGTAGAAAAGAGATAAATATATAAAGGTTATACTTGGTGTTTGAATAGAGAGTGGAAAAACTCAGAAAATAGTACTTTGAACTGGTCTAGCTTAGGGAACTAATGATGCTTGCCCCATCTTACCTGGACTGGCGTTTTCATGAACCAGGAAGAATGTGATCAAACACTTCTTTTGGAAAGTGTTTATTGGCTCATATCCTGGCCAAATAAACACTTTGAGCTGAGCTTCTTCTGTGTGAAGTAGATCCCCTCGCTATGCTGAAATGGGATGTGGTTTCAGATTTACCTTTGGTGTGGACAGTGGTTGTTTTTGCTTGCCCACCATTCTCCCTCACAGCAGCAAGACTTAGAATTTCCTTTGAGGAATCATCCTGCCTCAAATCTCAGCCCATAGTTTAGATGAGGCTGACTGTCCTTTCCCCTCACCCAGTTCCAGGATTCCCGAGGATAAGGTTGATTATACATCCGTTTTCCTACCACAGTGATTGGCTCAGAATGGGCACATGACTCAACCTGGGCCAATGAGAATTAGGCCAGAATTTTCATTAGAATTGTTGGTGAAAAGAAATTCTCTTTTCAATATATTTGGAGCTGTAAAGCCAATCCTGCAACTATTGGAGGCCACCATAAGGTGAAAGGCCATGTGAATATTAAACCTACATGAATGACAAGATGAAGAAAGGAGCTTCCTGAGAATACTAAGTACACCCAGATTCAGCCATGTCTGAAGTTTTGCATGCAAATGACCTAGATTTCCCAGATATTAAAGTCAATATTTAGCTTTATGCTTAGGCCAGTTAGAGTTTTTTTTTTTTTTTTAACTCGTCACAGAAAGAATCCCAATTAACATGTGTTCAGGGCAACTGAGACTGAGATATATGTTGGTAGATGATGTTAATATAATTCCATTAATAATTTGAGATGAAAAGATCAATGTTGTCCTTGAAAAGCAAAACTTTACCTCTCTCCTTCTCCCCTCATCTTTGTGGCCCCTTCCGAAGAGGTAAACCCCCATCAGCATTTTACTTAGTTTCTTCTTTCTCTCCATAGTTTCCTCCCAAGTACATTTGCTTATTCTAGTAGATGTTTATTTTTGAAACAAATGCCTTTACATCCTTGTTTCCTTCCTTTTGGCCGCAGCTGAGGTGAGAAGAGCAGGCACGTAGAAAGTAATAATTAAAGAAAGAGACAGGAAAGTATATCTGTTATAAGCTTTTTCTTTTTTAGAATTTAAGCTTATGAGTTTATCTACGCCCACTATATTCATAATTACAGTTTTATATCTGCATACAAAAGCTATGTAAAAATCAATTTTTCCCAAATATACAAATTTTTTTTTGGATAGTTTAAAACATTTTGATCACAGATTTCAACAGAGTTTTAGGCTGAAAAAAATATCACCATCTAGCAATATCACTTAACACTGTTTGCAAAACACAAGTCTTCCAATGACTGTAAATCTTTTCCTATTCTTTAGTATTTTTCTGATTCTCAGGGCATGAAAACATTATGGGAACAAAAAGGGTTTTTTATGAGGAAAGCACGGAGAACTAATTTGGCTCTAAGGTCAAATGAAAAGTGCCGAGTTATTAAGGAAAAACCAAAAGAAAGGAGTGGCATAATGTCACACCAGCTCATTCATGCCCTGATAATTTCTGTATCCACAATACATATGTAAAGTGTCTCCTTTTGTCTCACATTGTGCTCCGTAATTTACACGAGCATTATCTACATCCTGAGGAGGACAGATTTATATTTGATTGTCTTGTGCATAGGGTGGGTCAGCTTTAACTGTGCAACAGAAAGCCACAAACAGCGTTTTACCTGCACAATATTGCTCTTGAAGGCGGCATTAATTAATGTGGAAACACACTATAAATGCACACTTTTTGCATTTGCAAACATTTATACAGCACAGTAAAAATTCTGTGATAAGGCCAAACCTTTTTTCCCCCAGTCTTTTTTTTTGAATGTGTTTTTAATGCGTTTTTTTTTTTTTTTTTTTAAAGATTAAAGTAAAATGTCTCAATTGTAAAAAATACACACCGGGCAAATCCTTACCTGGATAATAAATATCTACATCACAGTACAATAAAATTTCTTCTCTATAAAATTTAAATATGGATTATAGTCTATCACTATCAAAAGAAACACTATGCTAATATTTCCATATTATTAAAATAACAGGAAAAATTACGAGCTTATTTTAGAACCTGATGCCATAGCCGTTGGAAGGGGCAAAGAGATTCAAATGTCGATCATCACTCTCCATTTGAAGAGGAACTGTGGCTTGGTTATTCACTTAAATTCAGTTCATGAAAAAGGTTTAGCCTTACAAATGCTGGCTACATTTCAAAAACCATAAGACTGATTTCGTAATTTATGACTCATGCAGCAAAAGGTCAGTATGACACAGATAGGTTAGAGTTCCATAGAATAAAAAGGTATCACTGACAATGACATGCTTTGAGGGGTGCTCAGCGGTTCCATGGAGGCTGAGTCTGTGGGGGGGCTTAGTGTCGAGGAGGGGCTAGGGCTTGTACCCCTGTTCATCGAGGAGCAACAAGAACGGCGTTGCTGGCACAGAGCGAGGTCCTGGCAGTCCACCCCAGGCCTGCACTGCACATTGAAGAGCTGTCGCCTGGGGCACAGGTGAGGGGGCTTCGCTGGGCTGAGGCATCAACACGTCAAGCGCGTCTTTGAGATCGAGGCTCTAGAAAAAGCTCTGAGGCGGCACGTGGTGTTTTGAGCAGAATCATAAAGAAGAAAACATCTTACTTATTTCACTGTTTCTGGAAATACTGCACATCTAAAAGAGCAAAGTACACTTGGGGGGTCACACACACACACGCACACACTCACACACACCCCACATCGCTCATCCCTAAAAGGGAAGTGATTTAGAAATGCGAATCCCAGCATAACGGGTGTGTTCTCCTCTATTGAGATGTCTCCCTGCTGAAGGGGTGGGAGCGCAGGTGTGCAGGGTGTCTCCATTAGGTCCACACTTGATTTGCAAGTCTGGACAATAGATGAAAAAATGTTTAGAAAAATCTAGAGCAAATCCCTCACAAATGAGTTTTATGAGATGGAGTCTTGAGATGCACTATGTAACTCCGTCAGCTTCAGAAGGAAGGAGTTTAGTTTCAGAGTCATTATCCTTTGAGTCCTATGGCCTTTTCTTTCAATCTGAAGTGTGCTAAGACTTGTCCTACTCGACATGAAGTATTCAGCCTTCAACAAGATTTCCAGACCAGCAGTTTGCCCATTGAAGGCAATCATTTAAGGTGCCAAGGATCAAATGTTCCTTTACTTGGGGCTGGCTGGATGGCTGTTTGTATACCTTACCATTTGGCCAATTCTCGATCATGGTTAGTCCCCAAAGCATTCTGATTTAGCTTGAGATCAGGCTCTGAACTTACATTCAAATCTGGGTGTCCGATGTACTGAGGATCCCACAGAATGAGGAAACTTTCCCCAGAAGGCCTGATGCTGCCGGACCCTGCCTGCTTTCCTTCCTGTCATTCCCTTTGGAAAGAAAGCTTGCCCCAAACAGCAGAGCTTCTCAGGGTTACCCTGGAGCGTAGAGGTGGCTAAGTGTTTATCTTTCAAAGAGTGGTTCCTCAGGGAGTCAAGAGAGAAGGCTGAAATGTTAGCAGAGCACTTAAGGAGCCTGGCTAGAGGCTGCCTAGACAAAACCAAACCCAAAAACAATCTGTCTATAGATACAGCAGGTAATCTGCCAATGAACTTCGTGCCTATAATTGTAAATCTTTTCACCTACTTCCTTTCTCTGGATAACAAGTTCCATAGCAATGTTCTTGCCTCCTTTTCCCCAGAAGCCAGTACAATTGCTTTTGTGCATTGAACATTTAATTCCCCGCCCCTGGATTATTTCCAATCATACTTGGAATTTTCGGTGCTGCTCCTCTTGTTTTTCCAAGGCCTCTAAATAGTTGACTAGTATTGTGTCAAATTATTATTTCAAGTTAATACCAAATGTATGTTTCTTAACTGTTAAGTGGGCCATGCTTCTTGTCTAATAGAGTGATAAATTTAAGTGTTAAAAAACCAACAAAGGAAGCAGATTTTTTATACCCTGAAATTTGTACAATATTAAGGGCAGGAAGGGTTTTAGAGATCATGACTTATTTGTCAGGTGAGAAAACCAAGACCTAAAGTTACAAATCTACCAGTTGACAGAGCACGAACTAGAATCCAGGAACCCAGACTTCTGGGCCAGTATTGCTCCACCAAACTTAAAAAAAGAAAATCTACTTGGTTTTCACAGTGACTTTCCTTCCTTTGTTTTTAGGTAAATCTCACTGATATGGCTTATTTTCCCCAATATTTCCAGGATAAGGCAGTAAAAGGTAGGCAAAGGAATAGTTTATATCTACTACGCCAGTGGAGAATGAGATACATTCAACTGCATGGGTACATTCTATGCCCGTTTTCTGATACTGAAGAGATGAGGCGTCACCATTTGTTTTCTGGGCACAAGCTATTCTAGCACAGGCCATTGGGGAGGCAGGTTGGGCAGGAAAGATAAGTATACACATGGTCTGCAGGTGTTTTCTGTTGAGTATCTATCTGTCAGGGTGTGCTATAAGAGGGAAAGGAGGGTCAGTGGCAGGGCCACTCTGTTTAGAGATAGTCAAGCTATTTAGTGTCTCAGAGTCAGAGGGAAAAAGGGGACTAGGAGATATTGGTTAATGAAGCAAGGAGCTTGAGGATCTAAGCAGAAGGAAGCATCTTCCAGCCATTAGGACATGAAGGGGCTCTCAGAACTCTGCATTTCCTTCAACTCAGAATGTAGCTGCACTAATCTCCTCAAAATTTCTCCAGAAGAAGACTGAAATTTCACCTTATCTTTCCTTGATTAGAAGATTTGATCCATAGGGAAATCTGTTGTCAGGTCAGCAAAGATGCAACCTGGATAAAGAACTTCAGGAGCTTGGGAGAGAGATCAGATGTCACAGAAAATGGGTGTTACCCTGTAAATAGGTTTGATTTCTGTAAAATTGTTCACTGAGCCTAAATGGTAAAGAAGGCTTCCTACTGTGAGGTCATGCTATGTGGGTTTTTGGAAACCATGGAGTCATGGACATTGGTGAAGCTTTCTAATTTCTCTGGGCTCACTGAAAACAAGTATTTTCCTTGTCAATCAGTCAAATACCTGCATATCCTTCGTCATGCCCTTGTATAATTTGAATTAAATCATAAGGTTATAAAAATAATATTGGAAGGGAAGCTGATTTTTTAGGACACAAATATTCCTGTACATTCCAAGTTATGCTCCTAGGAGACCATAAAGAGTGCTGGAAATAGCATGCTCTTGAATAGATGATAATTTGTTCAAGTCTTTCTCTAAAAAGCTGAAAGCCACATCTAACTAAAGGTGGTCTGTGCTCTGCTAACTTGAGCCCTGCGAACATCAGGATTGGGTGGAGGTGGTTGTTTTATCTTGGTTTTAAGGCTTCTTTAGTGTCCTGCAGTGCCGTTTTGCTCGCTCAAATCTCAGACCAGGGACGGGTGGGAGCTGGTGATGCTTGGGTGCTGGTGAGTTAATGATTGTCCCCCACCCCATCTCCACAACTGCAAAACCTTGAGAGCATTCACATCAAAGGACTGGAGAACGAAATGCAATAGTTTCAAGTACCCGCATTCAAGGGGCAATTTCATCCATGTCTATGCCAAGGACTACTTCCCTTTCCCCTCCCAAAAAATCCCTCCTGACACAAAGAAACAAACAAAAAAGAGCTAGGCAATGGAATGAAATGACACCCAGTAGTGCTGTAGGAATTATGAGAATGGATCCAGTCAGTCTAATCCTCGAACACTTCCAAGAACAAAGGGGGGAAGAGTTCCGTGGGGCATTCCACCTTCATGTGCAGGAAGCGGCTGGCATGGCAGGCTCCTATCATCCGTAGGTCTGTCACCTTCATCAGGAGTTTTGGCCAAAAGTGTGTCACATGGTGTTTTCGGTAATTGATATAGTGTTCAAAGGCCAGCAGGAAACTATCTTGGTACTTTTCTATTCTCTCAACACAGGCGAGCCCTGGGCGGTCTGTGGGGAAGAGAGAAGATGGAAATTGATTAAGAGATTGAAGGGGGAAGGCTTGCCTTGTCCAGTTCCAGGTCTTTAGTGGGACCTGGAAGATCTAGGGTCTTCCCTCTTAGCCATGAGCATGGATACAGTGTGAACTCTGGTGCTCCAGGGACCAGGTACCAGGAGAGCAGCACCATTTTTATGAAGAGAGTCAGTACTTTATTAAGATAAATATTTCTGTTTCAACAGATCACCTTCCTGGCTGTGAAAGGTGATATCTCCCTGCCAGGGTACATAAGGAGAAGCCTGACATTTGAAATATTCTGCAAAATGAGGGGAACAGTTTTGAATTTCCACTGGCTGCCTGGGAGAGGGGAGAGGATGAGCATGGATGTGCATAGAAAGGGGAGATATATGAAGGGACTGGGGACATTGCAGCAGGCCTGAGGCCAAAGGAAGAATGTGGGATAGCAAAACATTTCCCTGAGGACCAAGATACACCATGTTTAATTTTGTGTTGTCTTCCAGGCTGCAGTGAGCCGGCCTTTCCCTTCCCTTATACCTTTAGTGATAATTGCTACCAGTAGCAGCCTTGTATTAGTCCTGGTTTGGGAACTGAAATGAAATGAAATGGGAAGGTGAGCTGTGCCAGAGTCACCCCATGCAGGGAAGAGAATAGCTATAGTTGGAGCTGGAGTGAATGGACCCTGGGACCCTGGAAAGCCCAGGAAATCTTTTCAAGTCCTGTACAGACCTCTGGGTTCCCACAGTGTGTGGGAGAGGCTCAAGTCAGTTTCTAAAAGTGATAAAGGGGTGACACAAGGAGGCTGGACAACTGGGAATAGCAGGGCTGCAGACCCTTGGGTGACAAAAATAATCTCTAAACCTGGATGAATTCCTCAAATAGCTCTGGGAGGCCCAACACACCCCTGCTCAGTTCTCTCTGAGTTTCAGTTTCAGTCTGCTTTCTGTGGCTCTGATCAAATGAATTCACACTTCCAAGTTCCAATTATTGAGGTGTCTGTATCAGTAGGAATCTAAACAGGGTTCTGCTTCATTGGAAAGGAAGGGTCAGGACTAGTGTCTCAATTCACCCTTCACAGTATAAACAAACAAACCATATGGGCCTTTGGAATCCCCTATTTAGCTCAAATGGCAATTTGTGCATTTTTATCTTATGTTTCGCTTCTTATTTGACGAAGCTGCTCTGTGGATTTTCTGATTCACTCTCTCTCCCTCTCCCCTATCTTCTCTCTTTGAGTGTGCAAGAATTTTCCAGAGTCCTTTAATTTTTGATCCAAATAGAAGACCAACATATTATTGATTTGTATGTATTCTTTCAAAGGGAAAATATAATGTGGATTTTGTGGCATCAAAGAGATAAAGATAAGATGGTCACATAAATGACATAGTGAGAACTGACATTTTGATGATGCTTGAATGGCACTGAACAGGTTTATGAAGAGAGAAACATTTTAAAGACGGAAGACCATTTTTAACTCCTTAAGACAAAAGTTCTCAAAGAAATGTCCCTCAGATCATTTTCATTTTTTCTCTTCGTACTGCAGGACCAAGTAATTTACAAGTAGTGGCTAGTGGAAAGTCTTGGAAGAAAACGTCTAAGATACAGTGTAAGTGAAATGCCACACAAAACATGGGGCTTAGGACATCAGGCTGCGAAGGAACTGGAGACTTGGAGCTCCGATAGCCAGCTATCATTTGCCAGATGCACAGTGTCTTGTAATATTTTTCTGGTCCTGGCAGTATTAATGAAGAGGGCCTGCATCACTATGGAGGGTGGATTGTGAAGGGTTATTAAGTTGTCCTGTAGCTGTCAGGCAGTGCCAGCCTCTTGGCATGAGAAAATTGGGAAGAATCATACGGTTTGGTGTTTGATAGTGTTTGGCATCACATTCACAGTTTTTGTCATCTCTACCTCCTTCTCCCTTTATCTACCTTACTTAGATCATTTGCTTAATAATCTGTTAAACTGACCCACTACAGTAGAAACATCTTATTATTCAGTAACAAAAATCCATTTAATATAAGTAAGAAGATAACCACAAAAATGGAGGCATGGCAAAAGCCTTTGTAACTTTGGAGCTGAAGGTTCTGGCTGAACATTGCTCCTGAGATCCACTCTCTTTGTCAGAAAAGGAAGGTTAGCAAGTGTTACAGAGGTGTTAAAGGCAGACTAGCACCACAGTGAGTCTCTCTCCTTGCCTTATTTGGAAGGAGATATAACCAGGAAGAAAACTGTCGAAGAAATAGCTTTCTCATGGTGTGATTCAACATTATTTAAAACTGTCTTTGTACCACTAAAATCCCAGCTCAAAAAATTACCATGAGTCCCTCCAGAAATAGAATTCCTGTGTATGTAGCTTAATTTCTTCATTTTAAAGGTCACTGGAGCCCAGAGAAGCTAGGGGACCACCCAAATTCACACCGGGAGTCGGTAGACAAGCTATAAATTTTATTTGAGAATAATTCTCCGGAGGGACTGTGGGCCCCATTTCTTGCTGTCTGTCACTGGAGACCATCTTTAGTTCTAGAGGTCATCTACAGCGCCTGTCATGGGAACTTTCCCCACATGGTGGTTTCCCTCATGAAGCTGGCACAGAGAATCCCTAGAGCAAGTCTGCCAGCAAGGGGGAATCTTAGATTATGTAATATAATCACATGGGGGTGACATCAAATTTGCCATATTCTCTTGGTTAGAAGCAAGGCACGGGTTCTGTACACAGTGAAGGACAGGAGCTGATCAGGGTGTGAACACTGCGAGGTGTGGAGTCTGGGGAGCCGGTCTGGAGTCTGTGCCACAGTGTACATGGGAGTTCATTATGCTATTCTATCTACTTATCTTTGAAATTTTCCATAATAAAAAGAATTATTTCTGTTTTAAAAGTCTGCCATATCTAAATTTCCTATAGCAAATACATTTCTAGATCAGCTTTAAAAAAATAATTCTAGGCCAGGCATGGGGGCTCATGCCTATAATCCCAGCAATTTGGAAAACTGAAGTTAGAAGATCACTTGAGCTCAGGAGTTCAAGACCAGCCTGGGCGACATAGTGAGACCCATCTCTCCAAAAAAAATAAATAAATAAAATAAAATAGCCAGGGGTGCTGGTGTGTGCCTGGAGAGGCTGAGGCAGGAGAATATCTTGAGCCCAGCAGGTCAAGGCTGCAGTGAGCTGTGTTTACACCACTGCACTCCAGCCTGGGCAACAGAGCAAGACCCTGTCTCAGGTTAAAAAAAAAAAAAAAATCCTACTGAGTTAACCAGGAAGCAGCAACTCTACAAAGGATTCTCAATGTACTTGTGACTGATATTTTACCCACATATTCAGCCATTCATTCAAAAAAATAAGCTTTTCTTGAATTCTACTGAACACTGGCCTAGGTGCTGGATATACAATCAGACACATCTGTGTCCTCAAAAAAAAAGTCCACAGGGACTTATGTGGACAAGCGAAGCAGGTAGTTACAGTGTAGAGTGACAAGTGCCAGAGCACAGCTACACTTGGGTTCCCTGAAAATGCAGAGGACTCGGAAACCACTTCCATTTAAAACTATCTTCCCTGAAAGGGTTTGATCTGTTTTGTATTCCTTATTTATTATGACATGATCCCCGAAGGATAAAAGCCAGCATTATCTGCCCCAGCTGACGGGAGTTAGATGTTTTGGTGATGAGCTATGGTGGCTTACAGAGGGCTCCCCGTCCTGTGCTATTCTCCCATCTAGAGGGGGACTGGTGAGTCTGGGCTGGCACTCAGACTTGTTTGGGCCTATCCAATGTGGATGAAGTGATGCTGTGTGATTTGAGTCTTATGCTCATGGGATCTTCAACTTCTGCTTTCGTGTGCTTGAAACTCTCTCTTGGAATCTAACAGCCAAGGAAGAAGTCTAACTACCCTGCAGGAGGAAAGGCCTCATGGAGGGAGGTCTGAACCAGTGTTTGATGTTCCAGCCGAACTCCAGTCATCTTGGATGTTTAAGCCACTAAGTTTTCGGTTGGTGTGCTATTTAGCAAACTTCAGTTGTAGCTGAGCCATGAACAAACTCTAGCTTGTATCCATGGTTTCCACACACAGAACTTAACACAAAATTGTGTGGTCACTCACATCCATATCTTGTATACCCCAAACCAGAAGGAGGCAACTTTGGCCGAAGACTATGAAGAGGGCTGCATGGTGTCCACCAAAGGTGGATCACTTCATAGAGTATTTAAGATGGCTCCTTTGGCTTCTTTCTACCCTGGGACACTGCAAAAAGCATCAGACTTCTGACATCCCCCCTTTAAGTTCCCAGTCTACTGGCAAACCTGCAATTTCTTGCTGAAGAAGAGTGAGCTACGTTTCTGAAGCTAAAGGGGCACTGAAACTCATCAAGGGATTGGAATTAGCACTAGACAAGCAAAAGCTCTTTGGATGCCCACTAACAAGTCTAGGCACACTCACCTGAAGACATCAGCAGGACGGCCTGAAGGAGGGCTACTTCAGTGTCATCCAGGTTGAAAGAAGACAGAGACATGCCCAGGTCAAAGATGGCGTCTGACACCACCCCAAGACCCCCATTTTTCAGCTGGCCCCGTGTCACTGCCATTTCCCCATTCAAGGTTAAAGTCTCACTTTCTGGGTCATAGCGCACAGCAGCGCGAAGGGACATGATCTCCATGCAGCAGCCTTTGAGGAGGATGATCTGGTCTTCACATGGCAGCTGAAAAGAACCAGCTCATGTCAGCGAAGAATAAATGGACAAACGCCAGTCAGGAACAACACACAATATCTTAAAAGCAACAGGAATAACCTTCTGTCATTAACATTAGTCCTGCATTCTTTGAGCCCATGGCTTTCCCTTCCCTGCTTGGCAGACTTTCAACAACCATATTTCAGACTCAAAGTTGGCTGTAATCTTTGCCAACTTCAACCTCAGGAGTTTGCATTGTTTTTACGACAGATGCAGGTCTCCAACTGCTATGACAGTCGTGTGAAACTGTGCTAATAACTCCTCAGTTTGGGGGTTTTATAACTTCAACTGATAACTGCTTGAGAGCAGGGTTTATGTTAAACTCTCCATTTTTGTTTGTTTTTTTGTCTTGTAGCTTGAATAGGTAACAGCTTACCCTACTGTTTAGCTGGCAACTGGGCTTCCTTTTGGTTTTTGAAGCACATTTGCTCTTTGAGCCTCTTGGCAGAGAACTAGAGGGTTGCTGGCAGAGATACATGTTGCCCGTGAGACCCAGAGATATAAGCTTCATCTAAAGTCACCCAGGGACTTAAAGGCAGAGGGGAGGGCAGAATTCAGACCTCCTGGCTCCCAAGGTTGTGTTCTTCTCAGTACCTTAGACACAGGAGTTACTCAACACATCGGGTCTTTCTGCTGGTGTTGCAATCTCCTTTTAAGCTCATATGGTTACCCTGTTAATTAGGATTTGTGAGAATGTGGCAACATTAATAATAAAAAATACCTTTGCTCCTAGGCAAAATAATAAAAACCAGAATTTTATTTTCTGGAAGGGGAGACTGTTTAATCAAATGCTATTATCAAAGTAATTTGGAAGGCTATTAGTAAATGGGCGTGTTTGATGAATTGGGCATCATGCCCAGATTTCCATGCATCACCTCATTTAATCTTGACAGCAATACAATGAGGTAAATATCATAATTCCATATTACTTACAGATGTGGAAATCCAGGCACTGAGAGGGTAACAAGCTGGGTTGGGGGGGTGGTCACATGAATATTTTGTGGATAGGATTTGAAATTGGATCTGTCAGAATCCAATGCCAAGAGCAGAAGGGAACATACTCTTTTTACCATGGATATTACTAAGTTTTCATAAACAACAAATGTGTGAGTTACATCTAATATCTATCTCTTCATTAGCGCAGTTACAAATTCCTTTTGGGAAATGCTTTTGGCAATACTTGACCAGTCCAATTTGCGTTAGTATGTAAAAGCAATACAACTGAATTACGTATAAAATACTGGGTGTTTTATATTTTTTACTAGCTCAGCCTAGTCACTTTACCATTTAATTTCAAACTGCTTGGCTTTTTCTACAAAATAAAAGTCATTGCATACTTGATTCTGGAATCCATTTATATGAATTCTCTCCTTCCACTCATTTTTTAAAAAGCACTGTGATTTGCTTTTGTCTAGATTCTGATTGCTAAACATAGATTGCTGGCCCCAACCAGAGTTTTTGTATTTCCCCAAAGTTCCCAGGTAATGCTTATGTTGCTGGTTCACAGATCCCACTCTTGAGAACTACTAGCACAGAACAGCAACGGGAAGTTACTAATCAGATCAAACCATTTATTTTTAAAATGTGTCACAAAGTATGCAAACTTGGGCAGGCCCCACTTTTGAAACCAAGTCTGATTGTAGATGAAGTAGAAATTTTCTTTTCCAAATTTCTAGTTTAAGTACCAACTGTTGAAGATTAGTTCAAATTTAAATAAAAGCTGAATAAGTATTTGCAAAGGATCACCAATGGTTTAAAAACTGGGCCAGATGCCTTTTCCTTTAAGAGGGATTTGTAGGATCCTTGTGAGATTTGTTTCAACACGTGGGCAAATAATCTCTTAGACACCTGCCAAAATGCTTTCATTGTGAGTACACTCTACAAGGGCCTGACAGGCAGTGATGCAGGGATACTCCCACAGGTTCTTCCTGCCTCCTTAGGAGAGCATCACTCAGGTTGACTGGCAAAGATGATAGGGCCCTGCACTCTAGAAGTGTTTTTGCATGTTGTTTTGGCAGCTCTGCCAAAGATGACTTCAGCTCTTGTGAAGCCGCTGCTGTCATGCCAATCTTGTTTGGTGGGATGGCATGGATCTTAGAAGAACAATTATCATGAACACAGTTTGAATAGCAGATGTGATAAACTGCCTCTGGCAAGAGACCCCTGGCTCTCAAGACCACCTGAGATCTCCAGCCCACTCCATGGGTAGCCCAGGAACCTATACAGTTCATTCCCTTCTTTTGGGTTTCAAAGAGAGTGTAAAAAGGTCATCAGGAGGCCTCAAAGATGGAAAACATATGCATCTCTGCTGTAAAGGTGCTCCCACCATCCTACCGCCATTGCCTTTTGTAATTTTCAGAGTGCATGCTATTAGGGTGGAAAGAGATGGAATCAAAAATGAAACAGGCTTGGACTTTTAAGGGAAACCTGGATAGATAAGCTTGCCACAACCCATGCTTGAAAAGTTCCATGTTGACCCCTTGCCCTTGCCACGGACAAAAGTGCACAGTGCGTTTGCTCCTGGTGGTGGAGATGGTTGCTGCTTCTGTTTTCTTCCTTCAACTGAAATATCTCTTCAGTGGCTGGTTTACATGAGCTTTACATTTTTAAAAAAACCGTCTCTGGGGGGGCATTCAAAGGCACTATGTGACTGGCAGTCTGGCTGGAGTTGTAGGGGTCACAAACTCAGTAGTGTTCCTCTTCAGACCAAAGAACTGGGGGCAAAGGGACACAGCCAGAGAGAGGAGCAAGAGAGGTCCAGGGAAACAAAACCATCCCCACAAACAAAAGGGAAAGATGACAGCCAGAACTGGCAGGAGTGAGGGGAAACAAGCCTGTCAGCGGATGTGAGAGTGAACATAGTTTCTCTCGTGAGGGCAATTTGGCAACACATATACAAAGCCTGTTTATCTTGGTCCTTCAACTCCATGTCCAGGCTTTACCCTTCACTCGCTGTCAGTGATGTGAGCAGGATCTTGTTGTCAGAATGTTCATGGCAGCATATTTTTATTAGTGAAAAACTGGAAATGAACTATAGATCCAGTAAAAACAAATAACATAAATTATGGTAGATGTATTCTTTGGAATACTATGTGGTCATTGAAAATCATTTTGTGGAAAAGAAAATGTAAAAGCTATGTCCTGCCATTGAGGGTAAAAAGTTAGGTACAGTGACAGGTACTGGTAACGACCTGTTTATCTTGGTGCTGATCATGTGGGTGGTTCAGTTTGTAAAAATTTATTGAGCTGCACCCTTATGACATATACACTTCATTCTTTAATAAAAAGTTAAAAATAGTTTCATACACAGAAAGTACATTATGGTATACATTATATTAAATATATTTTATATTTCACATATATATGTATGTGTACACGTGTGTGTGTACACACAAAAATATTTGAAAAAAGACTAAGGTGCCAAAAGCTTCTGGTACTCTTACCATAAATCATTACCTTTATTATGTCATATAAATAAACCTTCAATGAATATGTAAAATTTTTACAATATCATCTAAAATGTTAATATATGTCTACTTTTAAAAAAGGTGTCAAAGGCATGGGAAGCTCCATGCCCAATACAGATATAAATCAAAGTCCCTTCCTCAGCACCTACTGACTTCTTTAGGGCTGGGGTATGAGTCATTGCTACTGCAAGGCTGTGGGTACTAGCATATCGGGTCCCCTGGTGCTATAGACTGAATGTCTGTATCCTTTCAAAATCCATATGTTGCAACCTAATCCCCAGTGTGATGGTACTGAAGGTGGGCCTTAGGGAGGTGATGAGGTCATGAGAGTGGTGCCTTCATGAATGGGATTTGTGCCTTTGTAAAAGATCCCAGGAGCTCCCTTGTGCTGTCTGCTGTGAGGGGACACGGTAAGAAGACAGCTGTCTTATGACATATACACTTCCCTGTCTTTCTGGATATGGCTTCTGTAGAGGCTCAGAAATGGGCAGTGAGAAGTGTCCTCATAATGTCTGAGGTCTCTCTGTCTCCCTCTGGGGTCCTGTTACTGCAAACTCAAAGACACAAGAGAGCTGGGCGCCAAGCAGCAGGCAGTCATTCTAGGTGAGGAAACCTAGCTTATTTTTAGGTGAGACCAGGATCACTTATCACTCAGCCCGCTTACCCAAGAGGCTCAGAGCTGTCCGTGACCCTCTCTCTATTTGGTATCTTTCTGGGTCCCCTCGAACGTATACAGAGCAATAGACAAGCACCTTATGAAGTACTTTTTTTTTTTTTTTAAAGTTCTCCAGAAAATATAATCAACCCCACTTGATTCAGAAGAAGAAAGTTAGAGGCAGGATGGAAATGTAACAGATAAAATAAAAGCAGTATTAGCAGCTAAACTTTATGGAATACTTATTATAACCCAGACACTGTCTAATTACTTTACAAATACATTATCCCACTTAAACCTTTCAATAGCTCTAAGAGGTGGATACTATTGTGATTCCCATTTTACAGATGAGATAAGTGAAGTTTGAAGATACTGGATAACTTGTTTAGGATTCTTGCCCATGTAGCTGACTGTCGAGACAGTGACATCGGCCACCACAGGGCAGGACTGATAAAGTGTCCCAAAGGGAAAGCTGATGACCTCTGGTGGGGCAGCTCTCTAGGGTGCCCTGAAGCTAGCACAAGAAAAAATGAGCTTATAGGAAAAGAGGAAAGGTGTGTGAAGATGTTAAGAGCCTGGTTCTGTGAGGGGCATTTAACTTATTCTTGAGGATTAAGATGTGACCACACAGTCATCTCTCTGGGCTATGCCCTGGAAAGAATACAGACCTAAGTTTCAACCATGGTGCCACATTTGGATAAGTTAACTTAATCTCTTTGATCTTGATTGTCCCCATCTGAAAATGGGGTTAATACGAGCCACCCTGCAAATCTGTTAGAAGGATTAGATTTAATGTGGGCCAATCCAAGTACCTGAGTGCAGTAACTAGGACATCATAGGTGCTAAGTCAATGAAAGCTATTGCTATCATTATTTCTCAATGCCTGGAATCAGGAGGATGAATAGGACCTTGATGGACCTTACCGGGACAAGCTAATGAACGATGACTAAATACAGAAAGTGGGAAATACAGATGAAATAGAATGCATTTTCATTTTGTACTGACATTGCTTTCATATGATTAAGTCCCTACCAATTAACATTAAATTGTAAATAATACCCAGTATTCCTGGAAACAAATGAAGCTATAATTAAAAATAATGCAGAAGGAAAAACATTCTCACCTCACAAAACATAGGCAACTTTTTGGCAAAATCCACCACTCTGGTAATTGCTGGTGTGATAATTTTTGTAAAATGGCTGAAGGCTTCCAAGTCAACCTTTCCACCTTCTGGGGCATTTACTATCGGTGCTTGTCCAATGTCTTCTGGCTAAGGAGGCGAAAAAACAAAGATTTAAATGAGGAAGTTGAAGGGAGCTTTATTTATCATAGTTCTTATGCGGCAGGAAATCTCTTCTGAACTGACGTCCTGTATGGCTTCCGGTTTTCACATCATTTGTTAACAATCTATATGGTTTATACATCACTTATTTCTTTGAGCAAAGATATATGCCTTGGCCATTACTTGCTTTAATAGGCCCCCAGTGACAATGTTTACAGGACTGTTGCTGCAGAGAGAGAGAGAGAAGAGAGAGAGACAGAGAGAGAGAAGAGAGAGAGAGAGAGAGAGAGAGAGAGAGAGAGAGAGAGAGAGAGAGAGAGAGAGAGAAGCAAGGAGAGGAATTTGGGGCTTGCTTCTGAATGCACACAGGGTGTGTACTTAGGTAAGGTGACATAACTTCTGGGGGCTCTGGGATGGCATGGTCAGAGCATTGCACATACTGATGTGTGTCTGTGTGTGGGAGGTGGGTACAACATGGGCAGTGATAGAGCAGAGGGTGGGCCCTAGCAAATGGTGCCCTGTAGCTTCTTGCTTCTGACCCAGCTAGGGCTTGAAGCTCCCCTCTGTCCTACAGACTCCAGTTTGAGGTGATCTCAGCTGAGGGTTGAGTGGGAAGATTGCTAGGTTGTCTACAGGAAACTTGGCAAACCTTGGGGCAGAATGATGAATTTGCTAGTATTTAATGTCCCTAGGGCACCTCTCTGTTGTTTACTTGCTCAAGAACAATCCATGGCCTTGCTGCCCTAAGGGAAGTACAGCAGCATGGATGTCTGTGGACTTCTTCCCAAGACCTTTCCCAGAGCAGATGGTGCAGAATCAACATTTCAGCAAGACTCCCCAGGTGACTTATGTTTCCCCCAATGTCTATAGCCGCCATCTAAGTTTCTCATTCAGTGACCTCGCTGATGTGATCTGTGTTCATCTATCTCCTGCTGTCACCCAGTGCTTCCTTCAGGAAGAGTCTGCTCCACTTCTCCTCCTTGTCTTTGTGATAATCATAACCACCATTTATTTGTGGCCTACAAGTGAGCCAGCCGCTTTGCATACTACCCTGTCTTAAGTAGTTCTCATTCGAATCCTGATTTGCAGGTGAGCAAACCAGGGCTCAGAAAGGTTAAGAGGAAGCTGCTGAGGCCAGGCCTGTGATCTAGGTGGCCCTGACTCCACACAGCAGTCTCCCCAGAGCTCCACCCCACCTCACCCCTACTGCAAGGCTTTTACTCCTTGTGGACCTTTTGACATGAGAGAACAGAATCTCTACTCCTCTGAACATGCTCTTTGTCAACCTTTGCATCTGTCTCCCAGGAAGATGTGAATGTGACCAAGGAGATCACAGAGACTCAGGCCCTACCCAGTGGTGGCCACCTTTGCCTAGAGCCACAATAAATAGGAAAAGGCCAGTTTCTTTTCAGCATCCAGGGGCTTGGAGGGATAATGGTGGGGGATGGGAACGAGGAACTGGCACTGTGAGTGAGTTGAGCAAGATTGAATTCCTCACTTGCAGAGCAGTGAGGACACTGAGTGTAGTGAGACTAGCTTAACATAGTGGCCCCCAAATTTCACTGCACATCAGTATCACTTGAATTCTGGGCCTCCTCCACAGTGTATCTGATTCAGCAGGTCAGGGGTGGAGCCTGGGAATCTGTATTTCTAACAGGTTCCCAGGGTGTGCTGATGAAGCTGCTCTAGGCCCACTCTTTGAGAATCACTGAGTTAGCGGTAACCAACTCCAGCTTAGGGTAATCCAGTTCCCATGCTTCCTCCCACATATCTCCTCTGTTACTGCCCACATCACATTTTTAGCAGGAGGAAAAGCAAAAGATGATTCTTTTAATCCTTTTGGTGCCAGAGCACCAGGGTCAACAGGAGCAGCCCGGGAGTTATGGTTATAGCCTCAGGGCAAGGTTTTAAAAACGTATTATTAATACCTAACAAAGGCTGGCTGCAGTTAACTTTTCTTTTTGACTATCCTGCAGTGTCCTGTTTATTTTTTACTTTATTTTTTTGTTTGTGTTGCTGGCAGTGAGTGGATGAAACCTGGTTTTTGTCATGTTTTATAATGATTGACAATGTTTTGGGGCAACTGTTGGCATAGCAAGCCCATGGAAGGCTGCTGTTCAGCCCTCTCTGAGCGCAGACAGAATTGATGCCGTAATCATGTGTACAGCCTCCTTCTTCCCTCTTACCTAGATTGAGCTAAAGGAAAAGGTACTTCTGCTCCTTTGGGTAATGCTGCTCCCTGCAGCCTTCAGTCATCCCTGCTCTTCTTTATAATTTCTTCTCATTCCTGAAACTGAGGCTCATCTCACTGACCTTGTCTACTTGCCAAGTCTTTTATGAAGATGAACTGATCAAAGGAATATGGACACACATTCAGAAAGGCGGAGAATCATATATATGAATTAGAAATATATAGGGTGAACATTTTTCAGAAATAAAAAATTGAAAAGTGTAATAACATCGTTTTGGCCTGGTTGAATGTAAACATCTCTCAATGAATACTGATAGATCTAATCTGATGTATTTAAATGGCACTCAGTATCTTTTGAAATGTTGGTGGGTTAATACTAATGTTAATTATTTTCATTCAATTTGTGGGTGTGTGGGTTATTTGAATTCCACTTGTGACATGTCTAAAGAGTTGAAAAAAGGAGAGAAAGTGTTCAAGGAAATATGGCAATTTTAAGTAAAATTAAACCCCCAAATGTAACAACCTCATAAATTTTCTATTGAAAATATATATCAAAGTAGAATAAAAAAATTACTTTTAAGCCTCTGGATATTTAATGGCAAATAAAATTGCTAGAAGTAAAACTACAAACAAAGTAAAACCCTTCAATTTTATCATTAAAAGTTTTTTCCATAATGGGTCTTAGATACTGGAGCAACAAAAAAGAATCTATCTATCTGTCTGTATACATCCATAAATTGACCTGAGTTACCATCTAGTTAATCAAGGTTGAGCAAGAAAACGCTGTTTGTTACTTCCCTGAAGATTTTTCACTTATAATGAAGATACAAAACATTTTTTTTTTTTTTGAGATGGAGTTTCGCTCTTGTTACCCAGGCTGGAGTGCAATGGCGCCATCTCGGCTCACCGCAACCTCAGCCTCCTGAGTAGCTGGGATTACAGGCACGCACTACCATGCCCAGCTAATTTTTTGTATTTTTAGTAGAGACGGGGTTTCACCATGTTGACCAGGATGGTCTTGATCTCTTGACCTCATGATCCACCTGCTTCGGCCTCCCAAAGTGCTGGGATTACAGGCGTGTGCCACCGTGCCCGGCCCAAGATACAAAATTTTAAAAAATATTTGGAGGATGTTAAAAATAGAGTACAAATATTTTACACTAGTTGAACCTATTAGATATCTTATTACAGCTAATAGCCTTGTAAACTACTATATGAAATACTTTTGCTCATATACACATATATATTTATGTGCCCAAGATCAAGCTCAGATACCGATGATAAGTCTCTAGCTTGCTTGTAGATTTGCCACCGTAGACCTGTAGGGAAAGCCTGCTTTTTGCCTCTGTGGATCCAACTGCCTTAGCTAGCTCATGGTGGTTCTTTCACCTCTCACTCTGATATCCTCTCTTTGCCCAAAATGGACCTCCCGAGCTGGCCCAGCTGTCTTCTCTATGTCTTCCCTACAACTTGCCTTACATTTTCCCATTTCACTGCTGCCTTCTCTCCAGACTTTTGCTTTCTCCAAAGCCCCCACTTCTGTCTGTCATCTCTGTCTTTTCCAAATCCCATTTTCTCTTCAAGACCCAACTCAAGTCCTAGCTTCTCCTAGATGTTTTCCCAGGTGACCTCAGTTTGAAATGATGTTTTCCTCATTCAAACGCACATGGTGGCCCACAGCTATCCCTCGTATGGTATTTAGGCATTTATTACTATCACGTTTTCTTGTAGTTATGTAGGTACACACCAAAGATATGAATTTAAGCAGGTAGGGAATAAGTCTTACTTCTCTTTGCCTACAGTGTATAAGGCATTGGGCCAAGTGGTGGATGAGAGAATGCTTGTTGGTTGAGTGACTGAATGTATACTTATACCAATATTTATTGAGCAGGTACTATGTGCCAGGCCTAGTTTTGATGCTGAGGTTACGGCAATGACCAGTGTATCCTCAGGAAACGTACATTGCAGTGAGGGAAGATAGATGATAAATAAGAAACATATATTCATGGAAGAATTTGTGATGAGTCTGGAGGTGACGTGATAATATGTAGGGAGGCAGGAGAAAGGAAGGTCAGCCAAGGCCCCTTTGAAAAGTAATATGTAGACTTTGACTTGAGAATTATCAAGGAGGTAGCCTTCCTTAGGGCCAGAGGAAGAACATGTAAGGCTGAGGGGAAAGCCAGTGTAAAGTCCCAAGGCCAGAAAGGAGGCTCATGTCGTTAGAGCCCAGTGATGGCGTGAAATGAGGGAGTGGAGGTAGGCAGGGGACCCGTGATGCCAGGCATTGTGGACCATGGAGAGGAGATGGGCTTACTCTAAATGCAATGGGGCATCTACTGAAGGGCTGTAAACAGGGCGTAGACATGACACAACGGTTACTGCGTGGAGAAGAGATGTGGGGAGCCAAAGGAGAAAACAGGCAGGCAAAAGCTGTGGTTTGGGCAGGCTGAAGCAGACTATGGGGGTGGCAGTAGAGATGTAGAGGCCTAGAGAATGCCAGTTATATATTGGCAGCTGAAAGCAGAGGCCAAAATGGACTGGCTGTGGGGTAAGGAATCCAGAATGATTTCTTGGGGCAGTGCGGGGAGAAAGTGCAGAAAGATTCAGGTGTGTGTGCAAGGGTGACATCAGCCCTTGCTCAGCGTGGGTGAGGCCGGTATTATACAAATCGTGACTAACTGGCTCTCTGCTTTGACTTTCATTAGCATTGTTCAAGGTAAGTAGGAAATGCTGCCAGCTGACCTCTTTGCCGAGCCAAGGACTTTTTGGCTTGAAAAGGCAACTCTCTGGCACATGC